TGTTGTCTTGTCTATTTATCCCCTTTCCCTTGTCTGTTGTGAGCCGCCCGGAGTCCTCCAGGAGTGGGCGGCATACAAGACAAATAAAATGAAAAAAATGAATGAAATAAATCTATGCATGTGCAGGGTAGCATGTGAAACCATGCTCCTACAGTCCTTGACTTATGATTATTTGTTGACAGTGGTTCAAAATGATGACAGCCTTTGGAAAGGTGATTTATGACCTGTCCATGAAGTTGTGACCATTGCACCACTCCTGTGGTCACATGATAGCAATCCAGGCACCTGGCAACTGGCTCTCAATTATGACCAATTGCGGCATCCTGCAATCACTTGATCACAATTTGCAACCTTCCCGGCTATTTCCAACAAGCAACATCGATTGGGGAAGTTGGATGTGCTTAACAATCACAGTAAACATTGTCCTAAAATTGGGTCCGGTCATGTGATGACTCATTTAACAACCAAATCACTTAGTGATCAAAAATTGCCATCCAGATTGTGGTTGCAAGTTGAGGGCTGACTATAATTACTATGATAATAATTCTAAATGTGAAGCTTTACAGATGAATTAGCAGAGGAAACCTTGGTGCAAATTTCTGTAGGCCTGGTGGATTTCTGCCTTTATTACTAATTAGCTAAATATTAGTGGCCACTTTAAGGTGGCAAATAGTTTAGATGCTATTTTACAGTGATAAGTATGCATGGTTTATGCACATTTGGGAGGCAGGGGGGGACCAGCAACAGTTGATTTTCTGTCCAAGAAAATCCAATATCTCCTTCACAAAGAGAGGCATGACTCCTGTCTGAATTCCAACAAGGAACAGATTTTCATAACTTTTGTCCTTCTGGCTGTTGATCTGTTACTGACCTGTACTCCACACAGCTGGGAGGATTGGGGTTTTTCTTTCTTTATCTTGGCTTGATCCCAGATATGAAGTTGTTTGCTTTTTACTTGAATGCACACATTGTTTACTATTATAAACGATCTCCCCGTGGAGATCCGGACACTTACTACCCTCCCGGCCTTCCGCAAAGCTGTTAAGTCCTGGCTGCTCCAGCAGGGCGGGGGGCTCTCGATATATCCAGCCCCCCCCAGAGATTGTGAGTGTTGTATATTTTAATGTTGTTTGTGTATTATTCCCCCTCCCTTGTTTTATTGTAAGCCGCCTGGAGTCCTTCGGGAGTGGGCGGCATACAAATCAATAAAACTATAACTATAACTATAACTATACTATAACTATAACTATAAAACTATAACTATAACTATAACTAACTATAACTAACTATAGTTATAT